CGGCGGCTCCACCCGCCCCTCCTCCCCGTCTCCGCGCCCGGCCGCACACTCACCATTTCTAGTTCCTGGGCCTCCCGAGTCCCGCCTGCAGCTCCCACCACCTTACAGATCGCAGATGGACCAATGGCGGAAGTGCAAGGAAGATGCGATGTGAGTGAACTTCGCAGAGCGTAGCCCCAACCACCCGCTCCCAATAGCCCCACCCACCTGGCGCCCAGCTCCCGAAAGGACAGACACTTGTTACGACATCGACCCCTAGCGCCTGAAGTGCACAGGCCTGAGCCCAAAGCAGCCAGATCTCCTGTCCAGGCACATTTGCATTGAGAGGCAGCGCTGAGAGTCCCCAGGGAACAGTGGTCCTTCCTTGCAAACACACACACTGAAAAGGCACCTAATGAATCTGGCTCCATTTTGATCTTTGTTGACACCTGGAGTCTGACGTGTGGATTTGCAAAAAGGTGCACAGATTCAGGTATCAGGGATGCCTTAGGGCAGGGGTGGGCAACCTTTTTGTGAGTGCCTGCCAAAACCAGCAAAATCTCTGACTCAAAATTCTTCTGCATGCTGTTTTCCAAGTCAACTCTAAGGTCAATAAATTTCTGCTTCCAAATTGAGCTACTCTGAAATTCAATCAACTGCATTGCAAAGTCAGCCATGTCTATCTATGAAAACATTTGTAAGTTTAGTTCCTCCAGTTTCATGCTGTCTGGAAACCTCATGAATTTTGCTGTCTCTTCCAGGACTCTGAATTTCACAAATCTTGAGAAGAACTGCTCAACAGTTGATCAATGATGTTTAAAAACAGCTTTTGAAGGCTTTGACAGTCTGTTCTGTCATCTTTTGGGAGGTCTTTGATTGTGCCTCTTGAGGTTTGGAAAATATCTAACTCTCTCACCATCCACATCCCTCTTAAAGACGTCCAGTTTCTTTTCAAAAGCCTTTATGTAACCAAAGATAACATCAAGTGTCTTGCCAGTTCCTTGTAATTTAACATTTAAGTCATTCAAATGTTCACAAAAATCTGCAAAGAACATCAGTTTAGAAACCCACGTGGCGTCAGACAATTCTTGGTAAGAAATGACATGCCATGTTTGGCACACGTGCCAGGGGTTGCCCACCCCTGCCTTAGGGTGTTATCCTCCCAGAACTACAGTCAGATTCCCAACAAGAGCATTGAAACCAGAAACAAGCCATCATTTCCAGCGTGAAAAGTGACTTCTGCGTATTTAGAAAGGTTAACTTTAAGAAAATGTTTTTCACATGAAAAAATATGTTCCCACAGGTGATTCAGTCACACTACTCTGAGGCCATGAGCCACCCCTTACCTGTGGTTGTCTTGTGGGCAGGTCCACAGACCTACCCAGAGCAGGGAGATGGGCCAGGCACAGAGGTCACCAGGGTGGGAAGCCCAGGTGTCCAGCAATGGGCAACCAATTGTAGGGTGGGGCCTGGTCCCCAAGGTGACTTTTCCTCCTCTAGCTCCAGGCCCAGATAAGCAGCAAAATGCCAGGGCTGACATCAGGACCAGCTGCATTGAATAATGACCCCTGTCCTGGTGCCAGCCAATCCATCAGTGGAGGCCACATCCCTGAATGGACACACCTGGAAAGCTACAGAATATTCCATTCAGCTCTTCCCCTGGGACCTCCCCTGAAATCTCCACCCTTAAAACCTTTAGGAAGGAGGACCCAGTGTGCTCTCCCTCCCTGGAGCACACCTGTACCTTTCCCTTCCCCTCCTTCTCCTCCTCCCCCAGGCAGGTTACCATTAGCTTGCACTCCCAAGCTTCAAGGGCACTTCTGTTACCTCCTTAACTCCTTTCCTAAGCCCATTTCTCCTAAGAATTACTTCTCCTACCTCTGTAATTAACCATTAAATGTTCTCTTACACTTTGGGTCTTGCCCTGTATTCTTACCCAGCTCCAGTGCTGCAGGCACATTGTTCCAGGGCCTCTGTGGTGCTCCTGGTGCCCCTCACCCACTGAGGAAGATCCCCGCGGGGCGAGGGGCGGCAGGAATCCTTCTCTCTCAGCTCTAATAACTAAGGACCAGAAGCTCACTGTGACCAGGACCTCCCCGTGAACGATGGACAACCTCACATCGTCCACTTCCAGTACGAGGTCACCGAGGGGAAGGTCTCTCCCTGGGATGCAGTCCTGTGCAGCCAGAGCCTGTTTATAAAAATCCCAGGTGGAGTATTAGCTGATGGAAGCAAAGACGGGTTGTCAGCACTGCTGGAGTTTGCAGAAGAGAAGATGAAATTGCACTATGTCTCCATCTGCATCCGGAAAGGCTGGGAAGACAGAGCTCCACTCCTGAAGATCTTCAGCTTCTTGGGCTTTGAGGTTGTAGACCAGGCCATTCCCTGTGTACCCTCTCAGCCAGATGTGATGTTCATGGTTTACCCGCTGGACCAGAACTTGTCCCATGAGCACTAACGGTCAGAGGATGCTTTGCCCAAGAGCCACAGTGGGGACAGAGGGGGTTAGGCAGCCCTGGGACAGAGGAGGGGGCTCCTCGCTGACTAGGGAAGGACGCTGAGGGGCTCAGGGTGAGGGCTGCCTATTGTGTTCTTGGAGTTGACTCGTTGAAATTGTTTTCCATAAAGAACAGTATAAACATATTATTCACATGTGACCACCAGTAGTAAATGAAGATGTTTATGAAGTGGCCTTTGAAGCTTTCTAAACTGCGCTGTGTGATGTGCTCTATCTAGCCTACGGGAAGGACATTGCCTAGAGGGGGAGGGACTATCTGGGTCTGGGCCAAGACCTGGAGGGGTGGTGAGTAGTACTGTCAGCCTCAGGCCCCCCAGCCATTGGGCTTTCTCTTTGGTTTTTAAGACTTGTTTATTTCCTTTCCTTGCTTCCTGTCACCACAGGAGCTCCGGAGTATAGGCTTTGCAGCCCCATGGGCAGCCGTGTCCTCGAGTTGTTTTTTGATGCCCCACCTGGGCTTCTGTGTGCATTTGTGTCCGGCCTGGAGAAAGTATGCCTGACCCCCTTTCTTTTCATTTTTTTTCCAGTTTAATGTATTTTAATAGCAAACTTACAGGAACAGCACAGAAAACAGACAATATTAAAAACATGTACTTGCATGTAGGACAACTAAGTTAGAAAAGTATAGTAAATGGGTGGAATCTACTGTATGATAAAAATGCTACAAACACCATTTATTTGCCATCAATACGAAATTTACTTGTTTTTAAAAAAAATCCAAATGCTGGCATTGTCCAGAAAAATTTAACAGGTTTGTTTATCCTAATATATAAAAACCCTGGTTGGTCACATCCACAAAGACCAGAGGCTCCACTAACCAGAAGTCAGTCCTGCAGTCAGCTGTGGCTGCAGGCGAGGTGACCCAGCACTGACTCTTGATGGGGCTGCGAATCAGGCCAAGAGAGAGGCCTGAAGAGAGAAGTAGGGTCTGATCTGTAGCCTCTGTGGCAGCTGTTGGTCAGCACTTGCCTCTTTCTTTCTCTCTGGTCCTGGCCAGCAGCCTTGCCTCCATTTCTCTCCAGGCCTCCACCTGGGCTGCTGATCCGCCCCACCTTTCTAATCAGGCCCCATTGATAGGCCCAGAGATGCTTAGTGCCATAGAAACCGACCAATCAGAACCAAAATTGGTGGCAGAGGAGGTCAGTTGGGGGCGAGATCAGGCCAGCAGGGGAAGGCAGTTGGGGGCAACCAGGCCAGCAGGGGAGGGCAGTTGGGAGCAAGATCAGGTCGGCAGAGGAGGGCCGTTGGGGGTGCAATCAGGCGGGCAGGGGTGAGCAGTTGGGGGCAATCAGGTTGGCAGGGGAGGGCAGTTAGGGGTGATCAGGCAGGCAGAGGCAGTTAGGGGTGATCAGGTCAGCAGGGAAGGGCAGTTGGGGGTGCGATCAGGCGGGCAGGGGTGAGCAGTTGGGGGCAATCAGGTTGGCAGGGGAGGGCAGTTAGGGGTGATCAGGCAGGCAGAGGCAGTTAGGGGTGATCAGGTCAGCAGGGAAGGGCAGTTGGGGGTGCGATCAGGCGGGCAGGGGTGAGCAGTTGGGGGCAATCAGGTTGGCAGGGGAGGGCAGTTAGGGGTGATCAGGCAGGCAGAGGCAGTTAGGGGTGATCAGGTCAGCAGGGAAGGGCAGTTGGGGGTGCGATCAGGCGGGCAGGGGTGAGCAGTTGGGGGCAATCAGGTTGGCAGGGGAGGGCAGTTAGGGGTGATCAGGCAGGCAGAGGCAGTTAGGGGTGATCAGGTCAGCAGGGAAGGGCAGTTGGGGGTGCGATCAGGCGGGCAGGGGTGAGCAGTTGGGGGCAATCAGGTTGGCAGGGGAGGGCAGTTGGGGGCAAGATCAGGCCTGCAGGGGAGGGCAGTTAGGGGCAATCAGGCAGGCAGGCAGAGGCAATTAGGGGTGATCAGGCAGGCCGGCAGGTGAATGGTTAGGAGCCAGCGGTCTCAGATTGGGAGAGGGATGTCTGACCTCCAGTTTAGACCCGATCCCTGTGGGCCTAAACCGGCAGTTGGACATCCCCAAGGGGTCCCCAATTGGATAGGGTGCAGGCTGGGCTGACGGAACCCCACCCCCTCTGAGCACAAATTTCATGCACCGGGCCACTAGTATTGTTATAAAGTTGAACTGCTGAAACTTGTTCACTGAAACATTTGACTTGCATTAATGCTTCATGTCCCCGCATTTATATTTACAAAATTCACACACAAATGAAAATGGAAAAACTGCCAATACCTGATTTCTGTCCCCTATTTTCAACTTGCAATCATATACTTAGGTACCTTTTGACCCCATGGAAAAAAACAACAACCTAATGTTTAGAACTACAAATAAAAGGAAAAAAATTTTTTTAAAGAATGAAATGTTTTCCATCACAGTGGATTCTTAGGCACGTTCTCCGTGTATGTGGCGTGCTAGCTGGATGTCTATTGGCATAATTGTTACACATTTGGCATGGATAGCACACAGGTTGGTGTCTTCAAAAAGGCCAACAAGATAGGCCTCACTTGCCTCCTGCAAAGCACCAATTGCTGCACTTTGGAAGCGCAGGTCTGTCTTGAAGTCCTAAGCAATTTCTCACAGCAGACGCTGGAAGGGAAGTTTTCGAATCAGAAGCTCAGTGGACTTCTGATAACGTCCAATTTCACAAAGTGCCACAGTACCAGACCTGTAACA